TATCAAGCTGTCTAAGAAAGAGATGTCCTCATGCAACACGAAAGCCTGAGGATCACCTAATAAGCTCTTCAACAATAACAGACAGCGATTGCGCAAAAGGGATACCCAAACCTATATTAAAAAATCCTAAAACATTTATTCTCAGGTATGAATGAAATTTGGTATGAATGAGTGAAAGAAAGAAAAAGAGTAAGATTGTACAGTATTATAAATTGTTTGCTAATAAATATATTCCATATTATTAATACTTATGCATAATCCAAGCAGCTACATGTATGTAACATTTATAACTAGTTCCTAGAGGCTCAGGTACAAGCAATCGCGGAGGGGATAACGAGAGAGAGCATCAATTAACATATTTTTCTTACCCGAAATATATCTGACTTCATATGAGTACTCTTGGAGTGCAAGAACCCAAGCCGAGGGGAACGGAGACGACAACTGTAACACCAAAACGAGACACTTTTATAACACCCATACTACAGCAAGAGCCTCCTTTTCGGCGACACAGTAAGACTTTTTTTCTATCTAGCAATAATCGACTAGCATATGAAACCACATACTTTTGTTCATCTTTAAGCTGGTAAAGTTGCGCACCTAGTCCCACTTCACTAGCATCTGTCTGCACCCAGGATCATAATTTGGGTGTTAAAGTAGGGTTTCCTCAAAAATAAGTTTTGTTTCTTTAATGATACAGGGTGCAATACAAATTCCCGGAATTTTGCTTCTCATTTTAGCTGCATACATTTTATATGCTTATAATATGAATAAAGAACTTTATAAAAACAGTATTATATGAATTCAATTAAAAATATCCATCAGTTTTTCAAAATGTGCTCCATTACCTTAATACATTTGCGAAGACACTTTTGAAAATTGCCAATTATGGTCGCGTACCTACTGCTCCACCGTAATTTCATCACATTTTTTGCTGCAGTGTTCTTTTTCTGACCTTTACTTAGAAGTTAACAAGAATTTTGGCCATTGTGAAATGGTGCAAACGTACAAATCTTCTTGTCCGTAAAAGAACACAAGGTTCTTAGCCGATTGACAGCGACCGGCTGATGTAAATTTTTAATTAAATATAACTGTTAATGTTTTAATGAAGCTCTTTAGCAAATTTCCTTTGTTGCTAGTGACATCCTGCTGACATTTGGTACTATAAACTGCAAAATAAATCCGTAAATCGTAATATAAATTATAATTCGACATTATTCTCAAAATTTTGACAATTAAAAAAATACTACAAATATATCATTAAAAATATCTTATGAAATTTTCATAAGATATTTTTTCTTTCTTCTAAAATAATACTAAATGTGAAAATTATTTTATTATCTCAATACAAAATACAAAAGTATTAAATAGTTTCTCAACGCCAATATTTGAAAGGTTTATATGAACATTGTACTGACCTTTTAATTTCGCCGGCAGTAAACTATAACTTAAATTCGGGCACGGACTCTACTGTAAAGTCCTCATCAAACATTTTCTTTTCTTTCACTGTGAAAAACTGTCAATTTTCAAGATATATGTACATTTCGATTTATAACCTTTATAATTGTGTCTTCTTCTTCTTCTACAAGTTGAGCGGATTTACGGTTACACCTACCGCCCTTTTGGTCGTGGACAAAAATCCTTATTAACCAGATACAAGTATTAACGTCCAATGATTTCAGTAAGATCCAAAAACCATTGGACAACGGTTATCTAACAAACACGTGGACACAAATAGGTTATGTAACCTTAAAAATTATAGCTTTATATAAATTCCCCTTATCCTTTGTAAAAGGACTAATCGAGGAATATTATCGAGCAACAGGAATATTTCTATTCCGGGAACCCCATTTTGCCCCTCCCAGGTGCAGAAGTCACTTATTTTTCACTACTCTTTCATAGAGCAACCACATTCTATGAGATTCAAAATGGAACTCCTCTTTATAATTGTGTTTATAAAATGTAAAAATGTGACATTTGACAGTTTCCCCTATTGTTTCATAGATGGCGCTCTATAAAAATTTTTGATTTAAATCATTTTAAGATAATAATAAGTATTTGTCGTAGAAAAAGTATAGTATGCACCTCGTTTATAAACTTTTCAATTCACTTATTAATTTAAGCACTTGCTCGCAAGCTCGCTCGTGCCTAAATTAAATTCGTGTATAAAATGGCGTTTATCAAACTTGATACATAATATACTATTTTCGCACTCATCCATTACAAAACAAGTCCTCGTGTGAGAAAATGATGCCTTCTGGTATATTCGTTCTTTACTATTATATAATAGTATATATTGTATGTATATATAACTGGTTTTAAGGCCTGTGTGGACGCCCAGCGACGTCCGTGGGCGGCCCAGCGACATTATTTTTTGAAGCGAGGTTAAGTGTTTGTTTTTATTCGGAATTTGACACATTTGATTATGTTGGTACTATGTGCCAATAAACTTTAATATTTTTAAAAGACCTTACTTAAATACTTTGACAGTTAACTGAATTCTTGTTAAATTATAAAATATAATTGTGTTGTTATTTTACACTTTTTGAGTTTTTCACCTCCTTGCCAAAAAAATGAATTTTTGTTTAACTTTTGGTTGGAAGTAAATACATTTAATTTTCGGAAACGGTGTAGGTAGTACCTACTAGGTCCTATGATATTTTAAAAGGTACGTACAATTTTTTGGGGTTTTAAAATTTTGGCGTTAATATGCATGTTAGTTACTTTGGTTTAATATTAAAGTTATGTTGGTAAAAATTAGGTTAGCAATACAATGTCGGTACGGTAGAAACCACAGAACTACTACGGAGTTGAGTCCATCATAGAAAACAACCCAGGTTATCTCTGCCGTTGTGCGTGTGACTAGCATAGAATATTTTGCACGTTAGAAGGTTTTATCATAGAAATAGTGTTATTTCTATGACGCAATTGGATGTATTCTAGGCGCAGTTGTTTCCATCAAAGTGGTCTCCATGGTTAAACCTTTATATCTGCATGGTTGTCTCTGCTGTTGTAGCGTGGGACTAGCATAGAAGATTTTGCGGTTCAATTTACGGACCCACTGCTATCCAGGAATCCATGCCTTGGGAATGGCCATAGGACGGCCGAATACGGCCAAAACATGTCCCATAATGACTACTGTGGGACGTACTCAGGAAAGACTAAAGTTTCCCATTTGGAAGTCTGTAGATTTTCTATAGACGGCCTATAGCCGTTTGCCGATATCCTCAGGACATCCCAGATGTCCAACTTAGACGTCCTTAGAATGTACTTGTGCTTTCTGGGATATTAGCAACTTCATGGGCTAAAAATCCCGGAAAATTTTTATTGGAAATAAATCTCTGTACCTGGAAACAGATAAGAGTTGGTGGGACGACGAAACAATTTGTAACCTAAATTCTTTCGTTTTGGCATAGATTTTATTAATGTGTAAGACGGTGCATTATTGTGATAAAACTGAATTTTTCTTTTCCAGTTAGCTTACACAATTATTATTTTTAGCCTTTCTAGATGAATGAGTTACATTAAATACCAAGCAGGGTACAAATGTTTCCCACATTTTTAAATTTGTAATTAATTTTAAATATTTTATTTATTTTTAACATAAAAGAAACAAATAAATACAAAATATTTATTACAAATCGTTTTAAGATGGAATATTTAGTCAATTATATTTATTTAACTAGGAATTGTTACATTCTTTTATAGCAGGTAAGTTGAATTTACCGTGAAAGGATGGTTGCTATTGACGATGGGAGATAAGTAAGCTACTTACCTCCCATACGTAAACAACGTCTTAAAACGACAAAATTATAGCTTTGTAATTAATAGATAAACAATTAAAAAATGCATGTGTGACATTTGTACTCCGTTTGGTACAATAAAGGTTAAGATAGTCGATATAAATTTAATCACCTTTCCCCCATAAAATACCGGCTGATTTCCGGCAGGCTCCCGATCCATATCCATTCTTATGAAACAATACAAAAATTTCCCTCGGATCATGGACCTGACGCGGCAGCCATATTCTAGAAAACAAATGATTCTTTAAAATAAATTTATTACCTATACGTTTCTTTCACATGTTTAGGTCTTTTCTACTCAATTTAATTTTGCGATCATTTAATATCATGGGATTGATTTGCCAATCACCTCGTCATACTGCTTTATTTTGAAAGCGCTTTGCACCAGGCACCAACAGAGAGCCTGTTTCGGACTTTTATCATCCGTACCGGGTATAGCTCTGTACATTTGAAACAAAATGCCCTCGCCTTCCTATTGTAGTACAGCTATCGGAACAGCCGTGGCAACACACTGATCGAGAGTTCTCAGCGACATCTACCGACCATTGGTATACTAACCCCCCACCCACCCAACCTATCCCTTGTCTATGGGTATACTACTCCTCTAGTGGAAAACCTGTTGACATGGATAATTGTAAAGTGATAACGTTACTTTTCAGCCCACGAAGTTAATAAAATTTTATGTATTAATAACAAAATAATATAAAAAAATAAGAAAGGAAAAGTATCCACATAACTTTACATATTTTTAAAATTTTATATATGAAATTTAAAAAATTATATCAATTTCAATATTTGCAATTCAATATTAAAATAAAATTTTATAATAGAAATATTACATATTTGTGTATTTTGCTCTTTACAAATAATAATAGTAGATTATGACAAAAATACCTTCTCCTTCGAATTACATATACTATTTTATCTTTTAACAAAAACTAAAAAACATTGACTTAATATGAATGACAGTCTGTCAATGACAGTCTATTATTGACAGATGCTTTCTCCAGGCGGAGATAATATGAATGAAATAGGGTAAAAAATATATCAATAAATTGTCTACGCTCATGTATCTCATTTTTGTACTAGAAAAATAAAGTTAATATTGTACTTATACAATAATGAATAACTTCTTAGGGCTGCGTAGAGGCTAACAATATTGATATTATATTATGATAGATAAACTAATTTTATTTTTAGATCCTGATCCACCTTTAAACTTGAAAAATATTACAGAAAAAAACAATGTGAATTTAACATGGTCAAGACCATGTAAACTTAATGGTAATATTTCTCATTTTGAATTATCTTTAAATGGAATTTATAGACTTAATAATAAAGACCCACATAATCTTCTAAAAAATATTTCATATACAAATAACCTAAATAATTATACCTATGTGTATATTTATAAAGATTTAAAACCATATTATTTATATAACTGTACAATAAAAACGGTTTTATTTAATGAAAAAAAAAGTATTGGTATGAGTACTTCATTTAAAACACCAGCTGTATGTAAGTAAACAAATTCCAAGCAAAATAATACCTAAATAATAAAAACAAAATTTTAGGCCCGGGAGAACCAACAAACTTAAATGTAATAGAAATGGACTCATATATATTAATAGAATGGACGGAACCTAAAAACAGATCTGGAAAAATTATTGAATATAACATTAGAATCGAAGATAAAGGAAGTTTACAATATACTAAATACTGTCCAAAACAAAATTTCTCTATAACGCATAATACCAGCAAAACAAATTTTATATTTAATGATTATTATCCTTACCATGAGTATCAAATATCGGTATCAGCTTATACCGATGCTGGACAAGGACTAAATAAAATAAAACAGTTGAATACGAATGCTACTGGTATGTACCTACATTTTAGAAAATGATTAATTCCATATGATGATGATATGTGTATATACATATATGTATATATATATATATATATATATATATAGCTATAGCTATGAGTTATGTTTATTTTTATATACACAGAGCTGTGTCGAGCTGTATACATTACGTTTTTAGCTGTAGATTTTTTTGTATTAAAGATATATAGTCGTTTAAAATGACATTTTAAAGCTAAAAGATGAATACAACTTCCCATCATCACTTTTTCATTATGTTAGAGCTTTTACAGTCTCAGACGAAAACTCACTAAATGATAAACTTTCAAAGTTAACCAAAGCATAAACCAACAATGGTTATTACAAAAAAAATCAGCAGAACCATAAACAAATACAAAAACCCGTCGCACAAACCATACTTTCCTAGGTACTTTTAAAGAGCAAACATTAAATATATATTTAGATCGGATCAGAATATAGGACAGTGTTTGGTCTCGACAAAAGACAAACCTCTTAATTCAGAAGAAGCACCATGGAGAATACCATACCCCTGCGGTAAAACTAACTAAAGAATTATGACCAGAATAAAGGTGCATAAACGAAATGTAAGACTCTTTATTCTCTTTTTCTTTACTTTTATTCTTGATTGGCTGCAGTGCACTGCAGTGGCGGCTGCTGGATTTTGGGTATACCGATATCTCAATTAATAGATATGGGACCCACACCAAATTTATATGAGTTTATAATGACATTAAATAGACAAGTTCTGCGCATGCAGAATTTAAATTGAAGAAAATTGAAAAAAAAGACGGCCCCATGGCGCCCCCAATAAATAAAATATAAATTTAATTGGTGCAATTTATTATCTACCATAGTTTATCGACAAATTTCAAATTTTATTAAATAAATCCAAATCATACAGATTTTATATCATTTTATATTTTTATTATTTCTTTTCATCATCCAGATCAATTTGGCTTCAGGATGGGTCGTTCCACCTCTGACGCTATAGCCGGCTAAACCAGAGAGATCGGCTCAAGTCGGTCGACATTCCTGGCTATATGCTTTCTGGATTTTAAGGGTGCCTTCGATAATGTTTGGTGGCCAACCGTGATTCACTTCTTAATAAACAAGGGTTTATCCTCAGACATTATTAGCATTATTAAAAGCTATTTATCAAACAGAATTTCGTCCCTCACGCTCGGCCCCGCACATGTTGCGAAGCCCCTATCCAGAAGTTTTCCCCAGGGGTCTGTTCTCTGTCCTTTACTTTGGAATGCTGCTTTAGACTTATTATTGAAAATTCCTCTTGGCGGGAACGTTAAAAAATTTGCTTATGCCGACTATCTTGCGATCATCGTGTCTGCTGACAACCGCGCTCACTTACAATCTTCGATGAACAGTGCCCTTATGCTTATAAGCTCTTGGGTCGGCGAAAATAAATTAAACTTCTCACATGACAAATGTTGTTATATGATATTTAAAGGGGAACATAAGACAAGACCTGGCATTAAATTAAATAACAAGCCAGTTCGGTTCGTGCAGTCGACCAAATATTTAGGCATCACCACCAGCTTAACTATCAATCGCATATCAAAAATGTCTGCTTCAAGGCGAAGAGCCTGTTCTCCAACCTTAGAAGACATGTCAGCGACGTGTGGTCGCCCCCCTCAGAGAGTCTTATATATAAAATGGCAGTCATTCCCATTGTGGGCTATGCATTCGACATCTGGCCGAATAAGGCGATGTGCGCTCGAGTTATCACTGGGTCCTACAGAGATGTGGCTGCTGAAGCAGCCGGCGTCCTAGCCAACATCAAGCCTTTATATCTTGCTCTCTCCGAAAGATCTGCTCTTTCCAAGCTCCGGAGAAAAACCCCTACGGGACACCTGCATTTATCTTGGCCAGACTCTGACCATCTGCCTCTACTAAGAGAAGCTAAAGCCCTCACTAAAACCGCAAGCCTGGAGGACTAGCAGACCACCTGGGACGAATGCCCAGTGGGCCGCTTAACTCACAAATTTATGCCTTCTATATCTGATAGACAAGCCTTAGACATCCCCCACTCTCGAGGTCTGGCGGCCATACTCACAGGCCATGGACGTTTTAAAAGACATTTTCATCTGCGTTGAGGCGCTGATGACCCCAACTGCACAGAATGCGCCGTGGTGGATGATCTACTTCACCGAATCTACACTTGCTCTCTAGAAATGCTCGAAATGCTAGAAATGCTCTTGTCGATGCACTGCCGGACTGGCCGATGAAGCCCGTGAGGCTACTTGAACTGCTTCTAACCCTAAAAATGACTGGTCTTCTCTTACCGTTCGCTGACTGTGACGAACTTCCCACCCAATAACAGAAATGTAATCGCTGGCCCATGAGCTTCTGCCTCTGCTTAGCGTTCATCGCTCTTTACGAGTACTTACCCACTCGAAACCCCTCCTGGACATGAGGTTAAACTGCCCCAGCGACCCCAGGGGTTCCTCCAGGGTTTCGTCTGTCCGTGCGCCGGGACATGCTCTGGCTCGATAAATGTGGTTAGTTTAAGTTAGATTATAAGTAGATTAAGGAACATGTTCGGCTTCTGCGGGGAGTAGCACCTCCCAGTTATTTTATTTTACTTATTTTTACCTGTACTGCCGGACAAGAAATAAATCCTTTTCATTTAATATATAGTTAGTTAGGAAATATACCAATATTTTGCTCTCTTTATATATACAAGGGTAAAAGGTACCTTGAGCACCACTGGTGTAGCTTGAGAGGAGCCTTTATCCCTGGCCTGGAGCCGTACGTCTTGGACCTTCCCCCGATCCATTTTCTTCTGTCAATAGTTCACTTCCCATATAATTGGGGATTGCTTTGGCCCGTGAAACGCCTGCACATTCACGCTGTGAAAAACTTGTATTCTTTAATCAAAGACAAAGACTGTCGGTTGGAAGGGAAAGAGAGAGGTATGACATGGGCATGGGGTTGTGAGACTCGTAGCGTCGTTGTCAACCGCGTTTGCGTGAGTGACAGCGACGGGGCGAGCCTCACTTTAGGGGTCTCCCCCTCTCTCTCTTCTTTTCTCTTCTTCTTATCTACCACAGAGGGCGAGAACAACAAACCAACTTCGAAGGCCTTTCTTCCCTACGTCAAAGGGAAAACCCAAAGAATAGGCAAAGTTCATAAAAAACATAACATTGAGACCACATTTACCGCCCCAAGAAAGATCGGTCAAATACTTCCAAACGCCAAACCAAAAATTGAGTTGGAGGCACAAGGGGTTTACGAAATTCCTTGAAGAATTGTGGCGGAAGCTACGTAGGACAATCCAATAGACGTATCAACGTTCGACGCGAAGAATATCGTAACGCAGTCTTAAAACAAGAAAAACATATTCCTTATCTGAACACCCATGAAATTGACTTTGCAAAAACAAGGGTCTTGGCTAGCACCAAACACAGGACCAAACGTACCATCCGTGAAGCCATTGAAATAGAAAAAGTCCAAAAAACCTCAACACAAGAGACGATACACAGAGGCTACCAACTGCATGGACAAGCTTTGGCGCGATCAATGTGGTTAGTTTAAGTTAGATTATAAGCAGAATAAGGAACATATTCGGCTGCTGCGGGGCGTAGCACCTACCAATTATTTTATTTTACTTATGTTTACCTGTACTGCCGAATGCTAAGAGGGTATATAAACAACGATCAGCGGCAACGGAGCTCACTCCACGTCCAAAAACCGACAACACGGAGCAGATCCCGGAAAACCATTAATACATATAACGCCCGTGGAAACCTAAAGCAGAACGGTCGAGGTCAAGGGCCAACTGCCAAAGATTGTCATTGCACCTGAATACCAAATCGGCATAAACCGAAGTAAAATTACCTTAATGGCATGACCTTAACCTTAACATAATACGCAATACTTATCATAACGCGAATTTCGAAACAGCTACCAACAAAGAACTCCTCCAGGTAAATAACCATTGCTACAACAGTTCCCAAAAAACTGCAAGCATAGACAAAGCAACAAAAAACGGCTCACATAAACATTCAAATCAGTCAAGTGCAGACAAAAAGCAACTCAGAACCTTTCAATAAACGTTCGACAAATGAAATCTAAAGAAATAAACATCTGGGCACGTTTAAGGGGGCCATACATTAGGTAACCAACAAAGGATTTAAATCTAGACGATTACACATTGGGGTAGATAAGTGGGGTGCATCGTTACCAATTTCAGCAAGCAAAACGACTGGCAAAATGCTAAATTTTTCTCTAAAATCTGTACTTGGAATGAGCAGTTGAATTTTCCACGAAGGTAGAGGGGCACTGCGAACGGCTTGTCGTGGACGACAGCACTTCGGTACTGAAGACAAGATTTAGTTCTCGCACAGTGGGGCAAACAATTCTAAAGCGTATTTTTAACTTAATTTCAGCAGTAACACGGACTCAGACGAACAAGAAGCACGACAAGAAGCACGATAGGCCATATACAGGGTATTAACCAACCAAGCGCCATTCATGAACCCCAATTGAATGTGGGTGTTACCAAATCCCGGATCCAGGGGTATTCCGGATTGAACTTAGTTTTGGGTCAGTCTATTGTCCCCCGAAAACAAATAAACATTCCCTCCTTGTCCCGAACTCCACTAGCCAAAATCGGGCGTATAGCACGGCCCGGCGAAAAATTTCCGGGAGTGGTCTTAACCATCGACACTGTTGTCCACGATCTTCCAAGAAAGATTTACCATCCGGTGTGAAGCTTTGTATGCATCAAACACAGGTAATGCTGTGTAGTTGCGGGATTCGTAGGAGAACCGAAAAGGGGAAACATATCTCTGGAAAACCATTGTATGACTGATTGGGCCAGATATAATTGTCTTACACCCATACTTATACACTGTGTAAACCGCTCAACATTATGGACTACCCGATATAATAAAAATAATAAGTTACTAATTTATTCATGTTTTTAAAATGGTCAATATTAATATTAATTTATTTTTAATTTAGTTGTTGTTTTTAGAACCTGAAAAAGTAGAAAATTTAAAAAACGAAACTTTGTTAGAAATAAATAATAAATCTACTTTTAAGTATGAAGTCAATATTTCCTGGGACATGCCCTGTTTAAACGGCGAATTAAATAAATTTCACTTTAAATTTGATAGTGTAGAATTGAGAAAAGGACAAAAACTCCATTACAACAATGGAAAAACTATGGAAACCTATTTCATTCTTTATTTAAAGCCTTTTCGTACTTACAACGTATCCGTATGGGTTGAGACGAAAACTGGAAAAGGAAGGAGTGAAACTATACAAATTAAAACTCCAAGTGGATGTAAGTATTGTAATACATAAAAAAAAATTCTATTTATTAATCTTTAAGATCCTAAAATACCTAAAAATATATCTTTTGTACCTAACGAATCAAACATCACTATGCTTTGGGAAGAAAATGAAGTAGTTTCAAACATTACTGGATATGGTATTTTGGTGGATCCTTTAGGCCCTCGAAAAGGGGATTTAAATGCTACAGAATTAGGAAGATGTTATTACTATGTTGAAGAAAAACCTCTAAAAGAGGATTTAAATGTTACAGAATTAGGAAGATGTTATTACTATGTTGAAGAAAAACGTTTAGAGTTTCCAATTGTACCATATTATAAATACAACATTACTATATGGGCGATTGCAGATCATTGTAATGGAACCGAAAATGTAACAACTGTAGAAAGTTTACCCAGTGGTAATTATAATACTTGTTTGTATTAGTATAAAAATTAGAACAATCAATAAAAAAATGTTAACATAATTATAGTTACAAAAATTCTCCTCATCGGCATACATTTTTTTAGTTTAATATATTGTTCCCTTAATACTACAACTGAGTAACTCAAAATTAAAGAATCCAGTTCTATATTATTTACATACTTCAAGTTTATTAATCAATGCCAAAACTAAACAACTCTATAGCTTTCTTTACTGTGGCGTAAATGTGTCTTTGCAACTAAAAGAGCACTTTTGTATACACTTTGTAATAAATATATGTGTTTTAGCCTCGCAAATTTGTACTAATTGTAACACACAAATTTTTAAATCTGTTTATTTAACCTAGTTGTAGTATTATATTCAGGTGACGATATTATATTATCTTGGGATCTATTTTAGCAAAGTCTTTATTTACACGTGATTTTTTTAATATTTCCAACAATGTTTAAGATTTTTTGTATGCTTGAAAATAATATTTTGTAACTAAATAGTTACAATATTGTCAATAAAGAAGTAGTTGCATTTTTTACTTAAATTTGAGGGCTCGGAACCATTTTACTACTGTTTTCTATGTACTAGAAAACAGGGTCTCAAGTAAAGTTAAACCTTATAAGGAACCTTATAAAAAACTTATAAGAATAAGGAATCTTACAATCATTACAGTGTCTTGGACAAAATCAGAATAAAAAAAATCATACATGTATTTTTTTTTTGTAAATAAATCTGTTTGGATTAAAATCGCACTTCCCTGCTGTAATATTTTATTTTAAAAACCGACCGGTTTCGCCTTATGGCATCTTCAGGGTTTCTACAAGAGGTACATAAATAGATATTAGATATATATATATATATATATATATATATATATATATATATATATATATATATATATATATATATATATATATTAGACTGGTTCAAAAAAATCGAATATTTTTTTTTCTTCAAAGCCCGCATTAAAATATCTTCCTAATAGTAAAAAAAGAAGCCTGTGAAAATTGTAGCTCTTAATATTAATATTTAGAGGTCGCTCATCGTGAATTTCTATTTTACGTTTAAATAACACAGGAATTCTTTTTTCTTAACTTTGAAATTTTATAACTCGTTTTTGAGTGAACGTATTGGAATAAACTCTATATATTTTTGAAGAAAATTGAGCGTTCTACAAAAAATGTCTCTTATAATTTTTTCGTAAATTCACTCCTTTAATAGTTATTCAAGGTTGAAATTATTCCAATATGTCCACTCAAAAAAAAAGTTATAAAATTAAAAGTTAAAAAAAAATTCCTGTGTTATTTAAACGTTACATTTATTATATGTCTAATTTCAACCTTGAATAACTATTAAAGGAGTGAATTTACGAAAAAATTATAGGAGACATTTTTTGTAGAACGTTCAATTTTCTTTAAAAATATATAGAGTTCATTCCCAGACTGCAATGAAGGTTCGAAAATATTCCAGGAATATTCCCTATCGCCTAGGAATAATCCACTTCATTCTAGGAATATTCATTGGGAATATTCCTAGAATGATCCTCTAAAACTTCCAAGCATCATCTAAGAACATTCCCAGAGAATATTCCTCGGGAATATTCCTAGAATGATCCTCTAAAACTTCCAGGCACAATCTAAGAACATTCCCAGTGAATGTTTTTTATATTTAAAAAACAATAAATTGGTTATATTTTATATTTGAATTATCGTTAAGGCTTAAACTGTACAATTTCTACCCCAATTATATATAGATAGGACAATATGCATCTTTAAGATTTAAAAAAAATGCAGATAGAACACTATAATTCTCAGGTGACGTTATGTCTACTGACAAGATTATAGTGTTTAGTTATAGGTATAAACCACAGAGATTTGTTCAGAGCTGGATGCGGTATAAAGAGTCTACATTGTAGACTCTACAATAAAGGAAAAAATTAAAACTGGCGCGTTGAGTTCATCGGTAACTATCGGTTCTGTCCGAGATGAATCGAAGACGACCGATGCTTTTATTGGCCGGCGCCATTAATTCGCAGTCTCAGAATTTTCACTGTGTATGAAGCAGAGATAAACGTAAGAACGACGATTTTACGATTGAAAAAGGTAATTTATTGGTTTTAAACATTTTTTACGTATTGACTAGTACAAATATGTTGTGTTAAAGACTGCAACATAACATATTGGTACTTGCAGTAGTATTTATTGTTCTCCATGTACCTAAGGACAGCGCCATTAATTCGTTGTTTGGATTTTGTTTTAACCACGTTTTAGCATCGGTTAGTTCAAATGAATGAAAATGGTTCTTTTCACTCCCTATGACATTTCTTTGGGCAAAAAATGTAATATTTTTTGTGTTACTGATACAGCAAGGTTTATTTTTAAGTTTAAAACTGTGTTTTATATAATACCAACACCTTTTCTATATTTGGGCATTAATTAACCTTAATTGCTATTGCTCTTTTTTGTGTTTGTTTCGTTATATACTTACCTACCGTACCTTCATTAATTAACCTTAATTGCTATTGCTCTTTTTTGTGTTTGTTTCGTTATATACTTACCTACCGTACCTTCATTTGTAAGCTATTCATAGGGAAAATACATTGTAGGTGGACCAGACAAGTCGAAGTCAGCGCGAACTTTTTCGCTTCGCGCTGACTTCTACTTGTCTGGTCCACATAAAATGTAGGTATTTTATTTCCACCTTCTTAGCATAAAAAAAGAATATAAGAAGGGTTCTTTTCACTCCCTATGACATTTCTTTGGGCAAAAAATGTAATATTTTTTGTGTTACTGATACAGCAAGGTTTATTTTTAAGTTTAAAACTGTGTTTTATATAATACCAACACCTTTTCTATATTTGGGCATTAATTAACCTTAATTGCTATTGCTCTTTTTTGTGTTTGTTTCCTTATATACTTACCTACCGTACCTTCATTAATTAACCTTAATTGCTATTGCTCTTTTTTGTGTTTGTTTCGTTATATACTTACCTACCGTACCTTCATTTGTAAGCTATTCATAGGGAAAATACATTGTAGGTGGACCAGACAAGTCGAAGTCAGCGCGAACTTTTTCGCTTCGCGCTGACTTCTACTTGTCTGGTCCACATAAAATGTAGGTATTTTATTTCCACCTTCTTAGCATAAAAAAAGAATATAAGAAGGGCGATAACTAAATGGCAATTTGGTTAACAAAGGCACAACGCAGGCTCGATGCCGCTATGTAAATTATTTATTTATTAATATGTCTTTTATAAAAAATATTTTTGAAAGAATATTGTTTTTTTAAATAAAATGGTTTTGTCACAATTTTGCAGCTCTGTTATTATTAATACTATACTCCACAAATCAAAGTCCCACCATGTGACTGATAATTGTATAAGGAATTTTTACAGGAACTATGCTCCACCACGTGACTGATAAAAATAATTAAGGTTAATTTTCTGTCAGTGTCAAGCTTATTTTATCCTATTTCCTAAATGCAATGCAATATATGAACTTTTTGTGTATAAAGGTCTTAATTTAGAACACAAAAAATACATATATTGTATTATTTTTAGAAAATAAGACGAAATTAGCTTGATAGGTTCTGACAAAAAATTAACCTTAATTATTTTTATCAAAGTCACGTGGTGGAGCATAATTCCTGTAAAAATTCCTTAAACCGGCGTAAGGAATATTCCCAAAACGTTCCTGGGATAAGGGCTGGGAATAATCCCCAAATTATATCAAGGAATATTCCCAGAATAATCCTCGAGTCTTCTGCAGGCAGATACATGGAATATTCTTTTTATGATGCCTGGGTTATTCAAAAAGCGGACATTTGATTATGCCAGGAATATTCCTGGGAATATTCTGGGACGATTGGAATATTCCTGGGAATATTCCTGACATGTGCAGGGAATGTGATTTTGCGGTCTGGGTTCCAATATGTTCACTCAAAAACGAGTTATAAAATTTCAAAGTTAAGAAAAAAGAATTCCTGTGTTATTTAAACGTAAAATAGAAATTCACGATGAGCGACCTCTAAATATTAATATTAAGAGCTACAATTTTCACAGGCTTCTTTTTTCACTACTAGGAAGATATTTCAATGCGGGCTTTAAAGAAAAAAAAATATTCGATTTTTTTGAACCAGTCTAATATATATATATTGGTTAAGCATACTTTAAAGTAACTTACACGTCAAAATATTAAAATATACTATTATTACATAAATAAACTATCGCTAGGTTGTCGATACAATAAATAATCAATGAGACTAAATTTTTATTTATTTATTTATTTATATTTATTGTATCGACAACCTAGTGATAGTTTATTTATGTAATAATAGTATATTTTAATATTTTGACGTGTAAGTTACTTTAAAGTATGCTTAACCTATATATATGTATCTAATATCTATTTATGTACCTCTTGTAGAAACCCTGGAGATGCCGTAAGGCGAAACCGGTCGTTTTTAAAATAAAATATTACAGCAGGGAAGTGCAATTTTAATCCAAACAGATTTATTTACAAAACTAAAGTACCACTGCTTAAATGGATTACATAATTAAACAAATACATGTATTTGTTTTCCCAAAAATCCCGACATGTATGTCGGGATTTTTGGGAAAACAAAAAAGTTTCAGGACTTTATTACCACTGTAACGAGTCATTTTAACGTTATTTAAAGCAAAAATTCGAAATATTATATACATTAACGGGTCATTTTAACGTTATTTAAAGCAAAAATACGGAATATTGTAACAATTTATTCTTAAAACTTTTCAGAATAAACCAAAACAATCGTGAATAACTTAAGGTGCATCCACTTTTGTTGCGTATTAAGTAAAATGGCGAATCTACACATAAATTGGTGATTCACAAACGTCTATAAAATTTAAAAGCTGAATATTTCGGCCCTCAATCCTGGGAAACCGACAAATCCGAGAGCGAGGAAGACTCATACAAACTCACATTAGTAGAAAGATACATTTTTACG